AAGCCTCCTGGGTCTGGCTCCAACAGAGTTCTAGAAGTACAACATGGCATCCCTGGCTGTCATGAGCCATCTGGAAGACTGGGAGACTGGGAGACTATCTCTTACTTCTGGGCTCTTCCATCCCTAGGGTTGTATCTAATAACTGATGGTATATTTAAGATGCAGACATTAATAAAGAAGTAGAGAAAGGTAAGAAAACATCTCAGAAACTGAAGGGGCATCTGTTTCAACATCACACACCAGTTATTCCTAGAGGAAATGGTCTTGTCTCAGGATACCATTAAACTCCACACTCAGCACCTTAGAAAATGTGTGCAGTTCTTAGACAACTGGCCAGGGATGATCTTCAATGAAGAGAGAGAAACGTTGTGCAAACAAAATAAGTAAAATGGAGGCTTCAGAGCACACTCAGGAGGAACAACATGACTAACATAGCAAGATACAGGATGAAGGTAAGATAGGAGTGGATTTAGTAATCCACTTGGAGTCTCAGATGAATGCTTACTAATTAATACACAGCAACGAGTAAGAGATGGTGGAGATGCAGTGATGGTGATGTCCCTGGCCTGACACCTGCACCATCCTGATACCCTCACAGCAAACAGCACAGGCTCGAGGGTAGAGAAAAGGTATTTCCTCAAGATGTAGTTCTCCAAAGCCAATCACAGGAGACGCAGGTGACAAAGGCCCAGTGAGACAGAAGGGAGATGTTCTGCCCTTCGAAGCCAGAGTCTTCCCCGGCTGTGCCCAGGCCTTTTATTAGCAATCACTTGGGGGCACCACTAAAGGCTAGGCTGGGGTACAGATGACTGAGAAGGATGCCTGACAACCTGATATGTGACTTCCTGCAGAAGGAGGCCACTCCTCAACTGTGATCCAGGGGTTTAGGTACAGGCTGCCTGGGCACCTGCATCACAGTGGTGTCTGAAGCACAATAGTAAGTGCCACTGTCCTCGGGCCTCACTGGAGAGATCACCAGGTGGAAGGTTCTGTAGACCTTGCTGTGTCTTACAGAAAATCGACCTTGAACAAAATCTGCTTCATAGAATCTTGTATCATCCCTGAAAAGGATGAACTGAAAAGACAGATCTTGCCATCTGCGATACCAAAATAAATCTGGATTTGGAAAATTTCCATCGTAAGTGCAAAGCAATGTTACTTCACTGCCACTTGCGACTGTCTTGTCAGGTGAGCTCTGGGTCAGCGGGATACATAGCGCATCCTTGTCTGTGAAGAGGAAATGAGACAACTGTAACTTCTGAGTTCCCAGACGCTGACCAGCTCAGAGGAACTCAATAGAGAACAGGAATGAATGTCACAGGCAGAGAATGACTAGACAGAAGCTAAGCAGGCAAGAACAAGGGACCAAGCTTCCAAAGGTCAGAGAAAGGGAAACGGGTATAGGCAAAAGAAATGCACCTCTTACAGGTGAACAAAAGGCTGAGAGTCAAGCCCAGAATCATCCTTCAGGTTCGTGCAGGAGGCAGCGCATGGAGGAGGCCGCTGAGAGCTCTTTAATCTTCACAGGGCTCCCGGAAATGAGGGGAGGCAGGCAGCCGCTCACGTGGCTGTCACGTGACTGGGTCTGCTGAAACTGTGAGGTGAGCGCCTCCACGAGGGACTGCTGCTGTTTACAGAAATGTTGGTCTCCAAACCGTCTAGGACTGAGACTTCTGACAGTGAAAATGAATTGGTTTAAAAAATAAATGTGAGGAGGGGTGGAGGGAAGGACAGAGGGAGGTTGAGAAAGTGGGATAAAGGGAAGGAAACTGCCATCTCCGCAACGGCGTGCTTTGGCATACTCAATTCATAAAGTAACTCGCTCTCCATTCTGAGGGTCTCTGATCGTAGGCTGGGACCAGTCCATGAATCACACTTCAAGTAGCCCTGTCTCAGGGCACCTGACATCTGTGCATTCACCTTGTAGAGCTCGATAAACAGAGCAAATGGATTAGTCCCTGTGTAGTATGCAATGTGTAAAATCAACACGTAAGTCCGTTACCCCTCTGTGTAAAGGTGGGAAAATGGCTGAAAAAGATTGTTTCTAACACCTTTTCCAGCCTTGGACCCTACAAGTCCTTGGTTTCTGGTGCTTAGGGGGTGTTTGCTGATCCTGACAGTGGTTACTGCATTGTGCTATGTATCTTCCTGTCTCGTGGGACGGTCCACAGCCTACACTTGGCTACAGCGGTAAAATTACTGCCCCAGAGAGAGCTTCCTGGCAGGTAAAATGCAATGAAGCTTACTCAGGTACTTTCTGAGAAGCCCTGCATGCCTGGGGTGTCTGGAGACCCTGTGCCATCCCCTCCCAGTCACGCACCCCAACAACCCAGTTTTACATGTAAGCCATGACACAGTATTTAGGAAGCACTGCTCTGGAATCAGAAACACTAATTCGCTCCTCAACCCCATGAAGTGTCTACAAAGGCCCTTCCTTCCCACCCTTTTTCCTACATCTGCTTCATCAACAAGACCTGTTAGCACTTGGAATCACCAACCCATCTCCTTCCCCCTCTCCCCTCTGCCCCTTCATGCAAACATCATCTCTTACAAGGACCACTGCAAAGAGTCCTAACTGGTCCCATTGCTT